TTAACACAAAAAGCTCCAAGCGGGCACGCAATACGGAAGATCGGAGAAGAAAATGGAAGATTTCAATTCTTAATTCCATCTGACCTCGAACGGAATTTCGAAAATACAAAAAAATTATAAAAAAAAAAACATTCAGCAGGGAAAATAAACCTAAACAAAAAAGGTTTGAAGTAGGTTTGAAGGTTGTACAACTTGACTTTTTTGTTCACTTGCAGATTTATTGGTCGAAAAACTTGTACTGCTTTCTGAGGACGGAAAGTAAATTCGTTAATTTCGGCAATAATAAATCCAGAAAGGCGCCAGAACGGTTTTTGGCACGTAGGTGCTATTTCTCATCTGTAAAAGTTTCTCCTTTTTTCAGTGGGCACAAAAGCAGAGAGAGACACGGAGTCTTCTTTCGTTCATTGTATCAACATGTTTGGCTTGGAACTCGCTGGGAGTCAATGGATAAACATCTCTCAGATGAAACTCGAGATATGAATGCATAATAAATCTGCGTGCTCCATTTTAATTTCCTCGCTCGGATCGTCTTTCTGTGAATATCAATCCGGCGTGAATGCAATAAAAGGGCTTATTCTATTTGCACTATTTCGCACCGACACGTCTTTCTTGAGGTGCGAACAAAGGAAGCCGATTTGTTTTGATTGATGGAAAGAGCTGTTTCTCGTTATCGTTTTGTCATTCATTGCGCTGGCGAGGCGAATTTCGCCGGCTGAATGCTCGCGCCGGCATCTCTCAATGTATAGTTGACGTTTTTGTGCATCTAGAGCGAGACAAAAACACTGTTTGATTTTATGGGAATCGCCGCGTGATGCGACTTTTCACATGGAAATTAACGAAACGGCGGGCGATCGCGCGCACTGCAATAAAATTATAACAGCCGTGAATGAAAGGAAAAAAAATGTAGCGGTAAACAAATTTGACTGCTCGTCTGCTGGACTAGTTATTGTCAAATAGGACCAAAAAATCTGAAATTATTCATATAAAAATTAGCGATCAAATTTATGAATTTATATTCTCATGACTAATTCTATGTTGATGACACATACGTGAAATATAATTATGATCTTACGAGTTCAATGTTTCAGACCCGCGGTTTAGATATTTTTCAGGTAAATTATATGTTTCAAATTTTTTATCATTAAACAAAACAAATAATTGTTGAAATATATCATAATTCAATTTAAAAACCAAATTATATTAAAAAACTGATCAATTGAAAGTTAAATAAAGTTTAGTAAAAATATTCCATTGACAGAAGATACAAAATCTTTAGTTTTGATTATATCGAACATTTTTTTTTTTAAAGTCAATTAATCCGTGTGATTTTTTTTTATAATTTTTATTTGCAAGCATTTTAATTATGAATTACCTAAATATTAATAGAAAAACATAAATTTAACATCTTTATTTTGGAATTCAAAAGCACCAAACGCACTTTCTTCACATATAGGTGATATTATTTATACCAAATGTTTGCTAATAAATCTGAGGAAACAATGTCCGGGGGTGAAAGTGTTCTTGCGTCGACGAGCAACGGATATATTGTTTTGTTTGCTACCAGTGGGGCTGGCGACAAATTGTATTCGCATTGTTTTCATTGTGCACGTTGGCAAGCCGAGCGTTCAATTAACTGACATCATACTCGAGACTTCGGGAGAAAGTGTCACCGCCGAAATTTGTGGAAATTTGAATTCAACCGACTGCGATGAACGCACTGCTGGATTACGAAATAACGCCAATTTGTTATCGCATCTTTTCACTTGTTTGCGAGACCGTTTTTCGCCAGCGTGCAATTTTCGCCAAGGTTGCGAAATGCAAGGACGTCTTACAGCTTTAAAACTTCCAGAATCCCGATTTTTAAAATGACGAAAAAAATATTATTGGGATAAAAAGCAATTTGCAGGTTATTTCAATTTTGATTACACGAAATAAAAATTAATTTATAATAATTTGATTTGCCAAGCAGTTCATATCAATTGTAATGAATAAAATTTCATTTGAAAAGTTTGGATTTCGATTATTTCTTATCGTGTGTTTTTTTTTTTTAACTTGCATTTGATCAAGAGGATCACTTTTAAGTTTTAAAGTACGTGATTTTCGTTTTCTCCTCGTCAAGGCGATATTAATATTCATGAAAGCGAGCTGACGGGAGCATCTGCGAATACTACTTGCGAAAATTGAAAAATCTGCAGGAGCGAGTCGTGACCAGAAGTCAGTCGGAGCCTCTCCTCCTGTTCTCAGCTCACCTGCTTTTAACACTTTCCACCAGTTTGCACATTCTTTTGTGAGTGACCTGCGCCGCCCTCTCACACACCGACGCACCGCGGACTTTTTGTTTCGAGCCAATTTGAAATTGATTTACGGGCCGGTCACGAGTGAGCGATTTGGCTATTTGCATGCGTCGGTTGTGAGAAAGGGTATTAAATAGACGTGAAAATTCTCACAAGCACGCACATGTACATATTATAATATTTTTGCTATGGCAATCAACGAATAAAAAAAATTTTTGTTCTCACTTGCTATGCTAGAACTGAATAAATAATTTTTTGCAAGCATCCTGCATTTCTCCAAACGGTTAAAATTATAATTTAATTACGAAGATTGAATTGCATCTAATTCAATTTTCCTATCAATGACGAAATCAAAATGTACATATTTTTAACTTTAAGACTTATTATGCCAACATTTTAAGGCAATTATATTTATTTTAAATTATAAATTTGAGGAAGTATTAAAAATAATAAATTACATAATTTTGTTTACTAGCTCTATATAAAATTATATCATTGAAATTTTAATATCATAATTTAAATAAAACAATAAATGAAAAGTATTAATAAAATTAAATTTTAATTTACATATTTAATTTTTATAGATTATTAATAAAATATGTACGTTGTTTTTATAAATACTCTATTAAAAAAATTGGCATTCTATTTTATAACGGGGATAAAACTTCCTTATCTTTATCCCCAATTTAATTTTGTATTTTTATTAAATATACACTATATATAATATTCTATATCAACAAACAACTTTAAAGTCCCGGAAACCACAATTTTATAAAAAAAAAATCAAGTCAAAATTGACGTTGACAATGAGTGCGAAATATTTGCCTAGACTTGTCATTTCGCCCTAATGAAGGCGCCAGCATGAAATTGGCCCCCGTTTCACACTTTTTAGCTTTTCCGTCGGGGACTTTCTTTCTTCCTTCATTACTTTTTTTTCTGGCGCCTCCTTTCTCCGAGGTGCTGCACTTTCTTCTTTCGCTCCTTTCGAGCGATTCGTTATCAGGCCCGCGTATTATTTTAAGCACATCTGGCCGCGCGCGGAGAATAATATTGCGACCCCCTGCCGCGGCCCAGACCCTCATCAAATATCGCACACCGGTGCACCTAATTTGAGCAATTTCGCCTTCCCTCCTGACACACATTTCGCGTCGCCCACCGCAGAGCACACAATTTTTATTGCAAATGTCAAAGGGCAAAAGCAAAAAGTAACTCATTGTTGCTCGCCGAAAAAATTTATTTACGATCGTTTTTATCCGCCGAGCCAAAGAGTTAATTAAAACGTTCATTTAAGACGATGGAATATTATGAACTTTTTAAAGCCTCTCTGGCACTTATCTGTCCACAAAAACAATTAAAGTGAAGACTGAGTCAGAGGTTAAAAGGCAATAATAGGAGATCCAAAATTTCTCTGAAAATTCCAATACCCCATATACATGTTAAATTGTTACCAAAATTTTGCTAAGAGAATTAATTATTAAACCCTAAAAAGTTTGAATATTTTCTTTAATTATTTTAAAGCGATTGTTACGAACCTTTTAATAAGTTTTTCAAAAATTTTGAGAGCGAAACCTAACGGGGCAGCTTAGTTCGTTGATCATATAATATTGAAGCACTGCTCATACGTGGAAGGAAGCGAATTCAAAAATCAAAGAAGCAGAACCAGAGAGCACAGCACACATGCACACGGGAAGTGTACTTTATATCTCGGAGGGATCTTCTTTCTTTGTGGAATTGCTAGTCCTTGCGGCGAACAGCTGCCTTTTAAATTTGGTCCACTTAATTCGGCCAGACTTAAAATGAAGATCGAAATCAACGCGGGGTTTATCGCGTGATTCACACGGCTGTGATGAAGGAATAAAAAGTCAATTGTTTTCAGCGTGATTTTTACTGCACGTTATTTGAGTTGTAAATAAAAGCAAATGAACGAACGGATTGCAGCCGAGAGTGCGGTTATTATATTACACTCGTGCGATAATAAAAGAGATTGATGCTGCATTGTGTGTCCAAGTACGTTAATCTGCGTGTGTTCTGCGATGAGTAAAACCGCAGCACTTCGTCTTGATCGATTTGCATCTCACGGCTTTCAGGGAGAGGAGCGATTCAATGCTGGCAATTAGGTTTTGAAAGTTTAATTTAATCAGAAAGGAATGGTTTAGGTTAACAATTGAAACGTTATTTTAATTACTTGAAAAATAATAATTTAAAAATTTTTCATTGCAATATTTCCAAGTAAGATACAAAATTTATTATTATTTATTCTTCTACAAAATGATTGAATTTTGCGAGCATTTTAATTTTGTTTTTACAAAAATAGGATAGGTATTGAAATATCGTTTGAATATGAAAACTACAAGGTGCCAATTTTAAAATTATTAATTATGTTATTCAATAAAACGCCGAATTAAATTAAAAAAAATAATCATAAATAATTCTTATCAAAGGATTTCTCACTTAATCAAGAAAATTAATTGCATTTATTTGAACAAGAATTAATTAACAAAATTCTTTAAATATCAAAAGTTATTAAAATTTAAAGGCACTCAATTTAATTAATCTGATATTTATTTTTATTTATAATGTTTATGTTAGGATTCACGAGCCCAATTTCCCTTTCTATTTTCGTCTTCTCGTGTGACTAATGTAAAATTTCATTTTGAAGTGCACGTCAAACCATGGACAAGTAATTTTCAAAAATATTCCTCCTACCGTTGGGGTGGCCTGTTGGAAATCCAAGGGGGCGGTTGCGGAGACGGGGATGCTTTTGGCGACAGGAGGCGAAATCACTGGCGGGAGGATGGCGAGCGGCGATCCCGGTAAGTGGATTGATACATATTGCACACGGGTGAGCACTCAAGACACTGTACCAGCCGAGATACACCTGTACACTGACTGCTGCTGTTCATTGAGAGACACGCCGAGAGCGGCCGCCGTGCGATGTAGGCCACACCGCCGAACCCCCTCCACACGGTGAATGAGGAGATTCACGCGGGGTGCCCTTCTCGTCCGTCCTGCCGGTGCACCCACCAGGGAAATAATCACTTTCGGGTGCGCCGATCTTGCATCACGGAGGAAGACAATTGCAGAAGAGTTTTCCTTGTAATTGGCCAACAAATAAACATACAGGAAAGAAGTTTAACGAAAAAATAGTTTTCGCGGCGAATCAAGTTTAGAAATCGCCGTCTCGCACTTCCACGAATTGCAGCCAGTTTGTCCGGATGATTTTTCACCTGGGTGACTTACTAACTCCATAACTGTTAATGAAATTTCCTTTTCCTCCGTCGCCTACCTAGTAATAAAGAATGCAGCTTTCGCACACGAAGCATGCAAATTTTGCTGCTGGGTAATTACTCGATTTATATCACTGAATCATTGAACGGTTTCACGAATCTTGCCGGTAGTAAAATATATGCTGTAAAAATGTTTCTGCGATTGCTTGAGCTGTTGGGAACTGGAATGAAATTTCAAAAGATTTCTCTCAACATTGCAGACTTTTGAATCTCCACAACTGAACATTTGTTGTCTGCTTCTTTTTATACAATTACTTTATAATTAATACTTGAAATTATTATTAATATTATTATTACGGATTTACCGCGGCTCTTTTGATGTCGGGCGTTTTAGCAGACATTTACTTGTTGTAAATACATTTCTTCCCTTTTTTCCGAACATAAATTTTTTGTATTGCCCGAGAAGTAGAATAAATAATCATAATTCTACAATTAAAGAGGATTATTTAAAAATCCTGTGCGATGAGCAATAATAATTACAAAAAGAAAAACAAGAAGAATGCATTCCCTTTTATATATTAAGAATTGTTTTTTGGTTTTAATTAAATTGCTACGCTATAATCAAGCTCAATAAAGATGAAAAGCGATAAAAAGTAACTCTTCTAAATTCATGCAAAAGTGATCATTAACCAAAATTTACGGATAGTTTAGCAAAAGAAAACGACGGCACTTTCTAACTGGGCTCTCTAGTCTTAACTAGTGTTATTTTGCCTATAAAAATCCTACGTTCGAGCACACACATGAAAATAATAAACACTTCCCTTCGTCTCGGCTGCAGATTAGCAAGTGATTTAAAGAACCTCTCACTTAATTATTTGGAGATTGGCGAAAATTGATCGCCCGATCCACTCGCATCTGATATCAAAAGCGCCGTCCAATAAATATTAAATTCTCAAGCAAGTCTGACCGAAAAATCGCCGGCATAAATAATGGCGAGGCGGAGTCGCCATTTGGGAAAGCGCAAATTATGATATTCAGCGCGGGAGGAGCGTAGAGTGTTGATTTTCGACCGATTCGGCCGCTTTTCAACAAGACCATAATTTTCCTCCAAAGGATGTGCTAATTTGATAATTCGCATGAAACCGAAACCCCGGCAGAGAGAATGTCCGAACATCCTCTTTATAATTTATCTTCAGAACAGTGAAAGACAAAATTCGGCGCTACTTTTGCTTTTTGATATCGAGCGCGTGCGAGAGCAAAATTCAGCACGTGTTTGCACCGCGGAATAAAAAAAAAAACGATTTAATTTTTTGTGACCTGCTTTATCGCTCTCCCAAATCGGCCGTGCGCGCATTTGAATAACGAGTCGGCTGCAATTTCTCTCTAAAGCACACGTACGTGTATATTTTTGGTGTTAAATTATCAGACAAGTGAATCATTAAACGAAAGAGAGGCTCAAACTGTTATTAAAAGCAGCAAGTCGCAAATGCGCTGAAGGGGATGAAAGTGTTCATGTGTTGAATAAAGTTTGAAGCGGTTAAAAGCTTTCCAATCGCCTCACTCTCAATGGAATTTATAATGCAATGATATATGTACATGTAAACTTTTAAACGATGTGCACGCGGGAAAGAAAAAGTATGTGTCAGTCAGAGAGGCCGACATGGAGAAAATTTGAAGCCGATCAATTACGAGATAAAATTCTGTCGAGACCGAGTGAATACAAGTTTTATCCGCTAGCAGAGGTCAATGCATATTTTTGGGCTACAAGGAAGCTCCGGTTCCTTATTTTAGTTTACATGTGAGTCTTAAATGTTTTATTTATATTTTTATTAATTTTTTTTATAAATGAATTGTGAAACTTCATAAGGCTTCGTTTTATAATTTACAATATCAAACTAAATTAAATTTATAAAGTATTATGTAGTTTAAAATTTTCAATTAATGACAAAACACAATAACTCCACGATTTTCCATTTTAGGAGTTAAATTTTTTTTATTATTGTTGTTTATTTGTCCAAATTGTTACATGACATTATTTACAAACAAATTGTTGACAAGCATTTATTTTGGAAAAAAGAAATTGTTGGACAAAACGGCACCACCACTAGCAAGAATTTTGCTAAAACTTCCGAGGCCAAAAAGACCCCATCCGCCGCAGTGAGCCTCGGTTGGTTTCATTACATTAATTAAATTTTAATTTGTTTGAATTTTGTAACAAATTCAAAGATTTTCTGGTAATTCTGGTTCTTCTTCATTGCGAGCAAAAACCTTAAAAATTCTAAATCGCTGAAAATTCACTTTCTGAAGTTCACTTTAGTAACATTTTTTTTTTTTTTACAAAGAATAATTTCAGCGTTTTAACGTCCTAGTAATCGTTCGAGTACAAGCTCTACGTTTTATCATTATTAAATTTTTTATGCATCCAGCATATCAAGCAAGTTTAATTTGCATAATGACCACAAATACAGGAGACGACTTAATGAAATAATATTTTAATGGCGTGCACGCAACTGAATTTCAAGTGATTTAGCCCTGACCGTCATTAGCATTAGCATAATTATCCATCCGTTCCTCTCTCTCATCAAAAGCATTTTGTTTTCAAAGTAGCGGTAAAAATTGAGTTGTTATCTAACAAAATTTCAATAGAAATCAATGTAGATTTCATCACAATTAAGTATACAAATTTTCCTATCTACCTGGCGCTTCCCTGGGCGATTTTATATGAAATTTCCCTGCAGTACACGAGAGGGTAATAAATTTTTTGATGCACGCCAGCTGAGAAGCGGACTTCTTATCTCATCAGCTACACGGAATTAAACAATATGAATTTACGTCCATCAAACGTCTCTCGGCGCTTTGTTTTCCACCGGACCTTAACACGTTAAATGGTGGTCGTCGAATTTTCCATCATAAAAGTATAATAAACAAGTGGCTAACGGAATTATTGCTCAATAACATAAAATGATTCTGGGAGTCATTAAAAATTGTTTATAATTAACCACTTGAAAGGATTCTCTAATTTTTCAAGAACAAAAAGCACCAAAAATCGAGACCGGATCCACCGAGAGAGCCAGACAATGCTTAATTCTTTTCGTTTCTCTCTCGGCTGCGGTAAAAAAAGAGCCGCTGAAAAGATGATACGGGGAAATCGTCATGCGAGTCTCTCTCCTTCTTTCTTTCTCTCATTCTGCTCTGGCTTGGCCATTTACGAAAAGCTGTAGGGCGAAATGTGACATAATTCCACAGACGTGCGCCGTAGGTATGTCGACTGGGTATAATTATTATTCAACTCGGCATTGTGTAATTAACATTTTAGATTTCCGACTCTCTTGCGGCGGCGGCTCCTCTTTTCTTTCTAAATGATTCGCCACAGCTTTTCCGCATGCATTATTTATTATGTTGTATTAATTTATGCCATCGGACGTTGAAAGAGCTCTATTCAGTCGGACTCTTGTGTGTGTGAAAAAGGGTGTGCCGCGAAATGTGTGCGTTTCAATTGGACTCAATGTGTGTAAACGCTCTTGAACAGGTGAAGAGAGATCGCACACGACGATAAAATTAGCATCAAGTCTGTATTAAAATTGATTGATGACATTTAAATTGCCTCAGCAACAAAGTAAATACGAGCTCTTGTGCTCTGGATTATGGTAAATTTTCAATTGATCTTAAAAAAAGAGAAACTTCAGAAATTAGCTAAAAAAATTAATTGCAAAAAATAAACTTAAATTCATTTAATAATAGAAAATTGAGCAAAAAACACAACATGACATTGAAAAGATACAAATTTGTTGCCGTTCACCAAGTAAAACATTTAAAAAAATCAGGACTAATTTGTGTAATTTGTATTCAGCCTTCAGGTCTTTTATTTATTTATTCTACATTCATTCCAGACTCAAATAAAAGAGCTCAAAATAAAATATGAAATATTATTCAAGTTTTCCCTTTTCACCTACGTCTGTCAAGAGTCTTTGCTTTAAATCCTGAATTAAAAAAAGAGACAAAAATATTATTTAGCGCAATTTGAATTATAGAAATACACAATAATTTCTTAATAGATAAAAATATTCAATTATAATAAATTTTTCTGCGATTGCAGCTTTTAGAGCAAAAATATTCATAGACTTGTTGACGTGAGTCGAACAATAACAAGCTCCTCCATTAATTACAATTAATCAATAATTGCCAATAAATTAATAAAATTAAGAAAATTAATGATTGATTTCAAAGGTTTCACTTTAAGAAGAAATTTTGCGAATCTGTAAAGCTTGAAAGCAAAATTATGTCTATTCAATCTTGCCATCAATAGGCTGTAAACCTTTCGTTAATTGTACCTCTAAATGACCACCAGATTTAAATAAAAAAAAAAAATATTAAAAGAAGCATAAAATTGCTTCCAATTTTAGTAGAACGGCCATAAAAATGTACTTCTACCTCCGAATTCCTCCCAAAGCGGACCTTAATAAATAATTAAATATCAAAACTTCCAACACACTCATGAAACGGCTGCTGCTCGTAAATTTTAATACGCTCGGAAATTATCCCTGGGCGAGTAAAACTCTTCTAATTTGATGCACGAATTAAACGCTCGGCACTTCTTCTTCTGCTTCATTTCGGCGCGGACCAAAACGAAAACAACAGAGAGCTCCTCCGACAGTTTATGACGGACGGACAGGTCCTTCTCCTGCGCTACAGATAATGTGGGGAAGTGTGTCTGTCTGCCCCTGGAGCTGTTCTCGAGCACCAGGGGCGCGCCCTGGTCGCATGCTTAACCAACATTAGCACCGAGTGTGTGTCTTTCTTTTCTCTCTAACATGCAGCAGCACTTTTCCCGCCGATTAATAACTCCAAATTGGCTCAGCGGTTGGTGCTCTGAGACGAAAACACATGTCGGATCAGTGGTTTGCCTTTTTAATTGGGTCCAAAGGCATCCATTTATTTTAGAATGTTTATTTGAGCGATTGCTTCGGAGCTTTAAATATATTTAAATACTTTGCACTCAACGCGTAAACAGAATTTATTATAATTTCTAGCTAACGACAATTCACAATTTAATACCACTTAATCAATATTTTTTGCTCTTAAAGATCCACTCCGGTTAATTATATTGCTCTTTATTCTGAAAGATTGCTAAATTTCGACCATATCTTGTGAAAACACTGTGTGAAGATTCCAAACCGTTGCGTCTCCATCAAAAGAAAACCTAATTACAAGTGATTCGCGCGAAAAACGTGTGAGAATTGAGTAGCCAATCAGATACATTTGTTTGTTCCTAAAACTACAGAATTTGGTCACATTGGCGCTGCGATCGCTGATTTTGCCACAAATGCCCCACGGCGATGCAGAAAACTTGGCAAAATCAGCGATTGCAGCGCCAATGTGACCAAATTCTGTAGTTTTAGGAACAAACAAATGGATCTGATTGGCTACTCAATTCTCACACGTTTTTCGCGTGAATCACTCGTATTTAGGTTTTCTTTTGATTGAGACGCAACGGTTTGGAATTTTCAAATAGTGTTTTCACAAGATATACTAAAAATTTAGCAATCTTTCAGAATAGAGAGCAATACAAATGACCGGAGAGGATCTTTAATACAGTAGTGAACATAGAATTTTAATCTGAATCTATAATTTTTTAAACGAAACGAGTAAAACTTGTATAATTGAGCATATTAAGAATTCATCTTGAGTGTTTATTAATCAGTCTTAATCAAGATTAAGATATCAGTGCATAATTATGATATGATCTTGACCTGGGTCAAAGTTCTTTCAGCAGTCAATCAAACAGAATTTTGCTCTTTCATTATCATTACTAATGCTATGGTAATGCGTCTTTTTAATTAGCGACTATATGCCTTGTCAGAAGGAATTCGTCCGAAGGGTGATTCTCCTTCAACACCTGTTCTGGCATGAAGCGTCCGTGATTAAATTTCCTGGAATTAATTTCATTTTTCTTCCGCGCGCACACTCACAATCGGCGGCACCATTAGGAAAATGAGCTGAGCCGTTGCTGCATTTTTTTTTATTATTATTTTTGCTCGGCGCGATGCACTCGCTAGCAACGTTCTGCTGACTGAATTTGATTTAATTAATCACTCTAACCACTCTGAGAAATTCTATTTTGTAAAAAGAAAAGATTTAATTGTAAAAGAAGTTCTCATTTTATTTCATCAAGTCATTTGTGAAACAAATAAATCGCGGAATAAAATGATTAAATTGCAACTTGATGGGTTTTTTTTAAGTGTGCGATTGACACAGTTTGGTCGAGCTTTGAACGTATTAGAGGTCTTGGAAATTTTTAATCAATTGATGACGGTGCTCGGAGCACCTTTGCTGATCCAATAAAATGTCGAACGTAATAATTTTTTATTTCGTCAGCGCAGATGATACTTCAGAGCGTTGCGGTTTTGCCTACTAAAACACATTGGGAGAGATGTTTTTGGCTCCGAAACACGTGCTCGCCATGATAATTTGCGGCTTTTTCTCTCTCTCGCAACACGTCTAAATGGGCGTATGAACTACACACACATATTAATAAAAGCAGGGCGGAGATGGAATCGCATTTGGAGCTCTGTTTTTTGTGTCAGATCGCCTTTGTGCATCACAGGAATTTATATTATAATTTATAATACTTCAAGTTGTAAAAGTAACAGACTTTAATTATTTTACGGTCTAAATTGAAATTGTTTTTTGTAATTAATAAAGGTAAATGAGGTTTAAATTTTCAAATGTTTATCGCTGACAACTGACTTAGTGATTTTATATTTAATATGTAGTAAATTTAAACCTTTCAATGAAAGGAAAGAGTATAAATATTATTAAAGAAAAAAAGTCGTGTTTGTGTAAATAATTGAATGAAATTATTAATTAAAAAATATTTAATTGTTAAACTGTATATTTTAATAAATATGTTTTTAAAATAAATAACGAAATTTGAGAAAAACAAATGGAATTGTATTTAAAGTTGAATAACTTATTACATTATAAATTATAATAAATTGTGTAAAATATTAGCAAATAAAAATTATTAAAACTTGCTTTTTGATGAGAATCAATATAATGAATAAAACAATGGATTAATATAGCTTACGTACCTCAAAACTCCGTGCCCTTTTTTCAACCCGTTCACCTCTGACCTTGCATGGCGTCACCACTAGTCTGTCTCAAAATATGTCTTGTTCATTAAATATGGAGTCAGCTTTCAAGAGACTCCATATTTCTGTTGTGCGCCGTTATTGTCGGTACGCGGGCTGTTTAATTCCTTCTTTCGCCGCGTGCAGAATCTCAATCTCTTCTCAATAAAATTCTCTTGAGAGATGGAAAGAGCCGAAACCAACCAGAAAAGTTGCAGCAAGTTATTAACGCACCGCGGCTCGGATTTGATATTTATTTACTTTCTTATGTGACCAGACTTATGAGGTGATTAACGCCGCGTGAATCATGATTAAAAAACCATTCGCGCAGATTCAGTGGCGGAACTTTCGTTCGCACTGATTCTGCTGCTTCACGCTTCATTAACTTCAGCGATGTGTTGATTATTAGTTGCAATGTGAGACATTCTCCTGCAAAAACTGACACTATCATTTTAGGAGAATATCAATTAATTATACCGATAAAGATATAAGACGAAAAATGAAATTTTTGAAATTCGTCAAATCTATTGATTAATATTTTTTTCAAAATAGCCTGAAATCCTAAGAGATTAAAAGGTATGCTATAGTTCTGCGTTTTCTTAGAACCATAAATTATAAATTTATATATTAAAAAATTTATTAAAAGCGTTCATTTATAATTTTAATTCAAAGAAAATATTATGAATTATCGTCAATATAAAAAAAGAATAATAATTTAATAAGCCTGTCAACTTAAAGGAAAAAATAGATCTCCTGCGCTTCATTGCATTGTATTTCAAACTTTAATATGGGAATCTTGTTCGATTATCAATTGTTTCATAATTTAAGATACGACTCAAAATTACATAAATATATGCGAATATATGCTTAAAATTAAAATCTTTCAAATAAGTCATATTTTAGATATTTTAATCATATTAATAATTATTTTTGCTTATTCTTCACAAATTAGTCATATGTAAATGAGATAGAAAATAATGTGATGAAACAAAGATAAGTAACTTTAAATTAATAATTTAATTAAACTTAAGTCCGCGCCCCTGGACCAGAGATAACCAAGCACATAAGCTCGACTCAAAAGATTCATTTAATATGTGGTGTGTACAGCGCATTAGTAAAGTGCTTTAACTTTGTTTCACTCGCACGCTGACTGCACGTTAATCTCACCTTCACAGCACGCCATAGCTTTATTTGACGTAAAATTCTTGTCAGTGTCTGTTGAAACGCTCGCCGGTCATCCATTAAAGATGAAACTGCAAAGCTGGAAATGCAGGTATCAGATCTGTAAAAAAAAGCAAATTATTGAGTAAAAACTACTAAAGTAAACGCAGACATTTTTTTGTATTGCTTTTTCTAGAGCCTTTTCTCAAGAGAAAAGTGAAATTTCACCTAAAATTATAGATGATGGCTATCATAACAATATCTCTTATGCAGTTAAATATGGCACACCGGCAGCTCAGGATACCACCATGCAATTATTTCCATCAACTTTTGTTGACCACCAGCATGGGACGCGCACACAAAACTGGGATACTTTCTTTATTTTCGTTGTCTTATCCGTATAGTTTTTGGTACGAATTGTATTTATTAATGCAGCGCATCGTCAGAAATAGAAAACGCCATTATCATTATTTTCCCTCGATCTCGGTTTTTGCGGCCAGCGGAGAATAATTGAGCATTGTTGCGGCTCACTTTCTTCACCAATTGATTTTAATTCGGCGCGTTTTGTGTCCAAAACGGCTTTGAAGAAATTGGTTGGTGCTCCGGTTTGCCGCTCTCTCTCTTTCGGCCGAACCAAAATGTGATTGTCATTCATTTTCAGAGTCTCGGCGCGGACAACTTCGGAGCAAGATAATGGCCTGCGGAGAAATTGGAGCAATTACACGCGCGCGCTGGCAAAAAAAAAAGCCGACCGTCGTCGTGCTGTTGCATTTTAATTATTTTAATCTGTCAAAATCGGCTCTTGTGATCATCGGGAGATGAGCTGCGCGAGTGCGACGACCGGCTCGCTTTACACAATTAACCCGTGCTGCGTTTCTTTTTCTTCTTCCTTTTGCAGCGACGATCAAGTTCGAACAGGAATTACGCGTCAACACGTTTTATTGCATATCAAATTCTTCCTTCATCGCAATGACGGGAAATTTCGAATGGACGCGCGTTGTATAATTACAATTGCTATTTTAACACAAAAAATTATAAATAATGAAAAGTGTTTAACGGTGGCAGCAGAATTTTAATTATGTGGAAATGCGACGGCCATGACATTGTTGAGATTTTAACTGATAACAACCGATCGATAAGACGGGTCAATTTAAGTCGGGTTGGGTTGTTATGCGGTTCATTTGCAGTGCAGCGCCATGTTCATCAAAATCGTTCTCGTACTCGTAGGTTTGGTTTGCGCCAAGGTAATTATATTTTTTATTGCTTATAAAAATAAGCCCATTGATACCTTAACATGGAAAAATACTTGATCAAGTTAGCAATTAAAAAGTCACATTTTTTTTTCAAATTTACGCCAGTAAAAATTAAAGAAAAATATTTTTCTCAGGCTGCTGTCAATATTGGAGGAAAAGAATACTTTTTTTCGACGGATGAGGTAAATTTGTCTCGGAAATCATTATTTTTATTTTAATTAATGAGCTTTTAAACTAAAAAGCTCACGTGGTCTAAAGCATCTGAGGCATGTCACGGACTGCAAATGAAAATGCTGGCGATCGAGTCTGAAGAGGAAAACACGGCGATTTTTGATTACGTCAGTGCGAATGGTTATTTGAAATAAATTAAATTTGAAATTTTATTCATTTTATTCCTATAAAAACTTCGAGGACTTGGAAACACCTATCACTGGACCGGTGGCAAAGAACTAAACGACACCGCAACGACAGATGGTATTTGGACCTGGGTTGACCTCGAGCTGCCCTTTGGCTTCACTGACTGGGCGGGCAGCCGTCCTAACCCCTTCGCAAGGCACTTCTGTGTGTACCTCTCGTCTTGGTCATTTTCCAACTATTGGTTGGACGGAGACTGTGGAGCAATTGAAAAATACATTTGTGAAGCATATTAAACCGCAATAATAATGTTAATAATAATTTATGTTGATATTCCCTGGTAAATAAAATTAAATATACAGACTTTTTCTTTAATTAATCAGTTTGTAACAATAAAAATATTTATCTAAATAATTGAATTAATTTTAAGTAATTATCTTAAGCCTTGTCTCAAAATCGAGATGCTTTTGTATGGTCATATCATGATGCTAATCAAAAGACACACGGGACACACCTACGTATTGTCGTATTCATTTAATGATTATGTAAATTTTTCTTTCAAGGCCAAAAATGATTAAATAATCATTTGCTGGTAAAATTCATTAAAATATCTGATAATTTCTAATATACTAACTTCAAAAATAAAGTGAAAAATATATACTGATTTTAATTTTTTGCAAGTACCAGGCAAGTACATAGTTTTAATGCAAAAAGGTCACGCATTTTCCGTTTCCAATTGTGCACTCTCTTTTGGCCGAGTCTCTTTTGGTGTCAGACCTGCTCTTTTTCTATCTCAATCGGTTTTTATGATCGACTTGATTAGAACAAACAATAATAAAAATAAGTAAATACCACTAGAAGAGGTATAAAGTGAAAATTTTTCCTTATAATTAAACTTCGTCGATTGATGCTTATTGTTTTTGTGTTTCCCCATGACAAGCTCTACTCAATCTACTTATCTTGTTTTTTTGTTGGTTAAATTAGCCTGGGCCAGGTTAATTTAGCCTGGGCCAAGTTAGCCTTTTGGATCGCCCTCAATATAATTTGGGATTGGAACTCCAAAAATATTTGTTGCCATCAGAATTTTCAATTATAATTTTTTTTTTGTAAAACTACTTTTCGCCTGAGGTTGACTTGCCAAATTCGCGAACATTTCCTTTTCTGCTTGTACCGAACGATGGCAAAAACCAGCCGGTCCATTTAAACGCGAGCCAGATTTCATTCTTCATCCTTTTGATTGTGCAGAGTGGTCGCCAGTAAAGGTAATTGTTGTGTTTCAGCACCTTTCACGCTGTTTGAGCAGCGATAACTGCATTCAAATTTCAATTTATGTCGCGAAAATTCGTTTTATGCTACGTGTGCTCTCCATTATTGCATTACGATTCGTCCGTGCACTTCTTGCTCCACATAGAAAAACTTGTCTCGCCGCGAAATAAAGGGCAACTGCGCCTGAATAAAACATGCGGTCGTTAAGTTGCTCATGCCGGACAAAAAAATTACGCTTCGTGGTTAAATTTTCTGGTCATCGGGACGCCTTCTATACATGAATTCTTTCAACAAGCTCATAATAAATTTAATATTTTTTGTTGCCGATACATACATTAAATTTTTAATTTGATATGTCCATATTGATAAATATCAGACATGATGTTAACGTTGTTTCTAATATTCCTTTAATTATCATTTTTTTATGGAATTTTTTAATTACTTTACAAACTACTCGAGAAGTCTTATTATTGTCGTTATTTAGATATGATTGTCAACCTTTTGCTAGAATAAAACAAAATATTATTTTTTAATCACTTTGAATATGACATGAAAATTATTAAAATTTCATTTCAAAACATAAAAATTCAGATCCCAATTTTATTTTATTTTTATTTGATGTATTAAAATTTCCATCGTTTTTCCTAACCTCACAGATTTACTAAACTGGACCATTATTCTTGAGTGTGATCTACGTCAAAATGCTTGTACGTGGAACTGTAGCGATTAACTCTAATCGTCCGTGTACAATTGACAAAAATTTCGGATCGGGCGCCGACCGCGACTGAGCGGCAGCACAGCACCTGATACTCGTTTTTCGTTTTGTCCGGCCCGACAAGAAAATGATCTCCCTTAGAGCAGTTCCGAGAAGACGCAACGGACGCTCGTTCCGTTATGATGCAATCCGTGAAAATTTTCAGTGCAAAAAGTGACGAGAGTAGAATGATTTCACAATAATAAAGAGAAGAGAGAAAAGTCCGTGTGTACCAGACCGGCGTTTGGCAATCTCTTGGGAGAGGCGCTGGTTTACATTACGTCAACCTGCCTTGTCAAAAGCGACACTTCTGCGCGTCACGTTTACAAAGTAAAATACGTATGACGGGTGACGGGCGAGAGATCTGTGACCAAAACTGTGCGCACTGCAAAACGGATAACCTCGTGACAAATCACAAAAATCTGTGCAAGGAGATGTAAAGAGGTGAACAGAAAAATTCTAATAATGCAATATATAGAAAAGGTTAAGGTATTCATGTCTAATTATAAAGTTTATTATGAAAAAAATATATGTATCAAGTAAAATTAAGTTATTCCAAGGGTAATTTAATTGCCTACTATGACATTTTAATTATTTTTACTCAAAAAATGGCACTAACAACCCGCTTATGAGGTGCGTCTAAGCGTTAATATTGTAAGCTTTATTTAAATTAAGGGTAATTAATTGGCTTCGGTGGACATTCCAACTATTTTTACTTTGAAAATGGTATGCACTTACCCTAAATGAAGTGTTTCTAAGCGTAAACCTATTTTTGACAAAAAAATTTAAAAGCCACTTATTGTTAGATTGACTTTTTTCGTGGCTTAATATTTTTTTTTAATATTGACACCAGTTAAAAAAAAATATTTGCATTTTATTATATCAATTATGTGTGATTGTACATAATTTTGTTTTCATGTACCTTTGTATTGAGCAAGTTTCATGATGATAGTCATAATTAAGAATTTATTTGCCCGACAAGATATTTAATATTGAAGCAAATACGCATCACAAAGAGTGAAATATTCGAGCTCGTCGAAAAAAAACCAAGAACAAAGATGATAAATTAATACATTTCTCCTTTTTTTTCTTACATATATTATATAGTTTTCTGTTTGGTCAGTGACTAATTAAACTGCACGTGTTGAATCACGCGGAGGTAGCGGTTGGCAGTTCGGTAATAATAAATAAGCAAACCAGGCAAAGCACACACAGTTGTGCGAATTTAATGAGTCAGTAAAACGTCCGCTGCTCTCGTCGGAGAAAGTGTGAAACCCCCAGCATGATGCTGCTCGCCGTTTCATTAATCATCAGTTCCGTTAGTGAGTGTGTCTCATTTGCATGCCCATTGAAATCAAAAGTGTACACAAGTTTGCATTGACGAAAATATTCGCAGCTTTTGAAGTATTTGAACGATCGAAAAGATTCCATTGAAAAGAACAACAATGTAATGGGAAATTTGATTTTGAAACACACCTATTGTTACAGACCGCGTTATTGTTTTCGCATTATTTTCATTGAGCTAATTAATTTTTACACAAAGAGAAGTCACAAAAATTAGCATATTTCCGCATATTTAAAAAAAAATTAATTTTTAATCAATCGATATATTTTATTATATTTATAAACTCCACCTTCCCAAAAAGTGGAAGAAAATTTAAAAATTTTAAATGAGATCTAAATTTTTAAATTGCATGAACCGTAAATTTAAAGATTATTATAAATACATTTTCGTAACATATTTTTTACAACATCGTGTAAAAGCAATAGCAATGCATGTTAAGATGTGAAATAATTTTATCGCATTTATATCTTTACTTGAAATGCATTACTTTATTTGGGCCTCCATAAACACGCGCGGCCCCGTTACCCGCCGAAACAGCCTGTTTTCAAAATACACTTTTGTCACTTTCGGCTCTCGCAGAGGTTGCTTGAAAGTGATTCACTCGTCACGAGCGTCAGGATGAGCATTGTTGTGTTGGTTTTAATGCAGGTGGCCTATTTATTTGGCGTCTCTGAAATCTCAAAAAAGGCAATTACCAAAGAGCCCTTTGTGAAATGACTCTGTTCGCAGACACGTTATTGAGGCTTGGCTGCTAAACATTCTTATTACCAAATAAATAACAGTCATTCCCACTCAATATTGATGCAAACACAAAATAAAAATCCAATAATGTCCGGCTGTTTTACACAAAGACTATAATAGTGCAAAAATTTGAAAATATTATTTAAAAATACGTTTTTTTTAATTTAAAACTTTCTACAGGTTTCAGAAATTTGTGAATTAACTATATCATGTTAATTTTTGTGGGAAGTCAACAACTTTTACATATTTTTCGACCAAAGTGAAAAATGTATATTAGATATTTTTTAATCATTTCATGCATATATACAGAAGTATCGAATATGAGGTAACAACTCTTCAGAAGTCGATCATTGGCCGAAATAGAGACTAATAGACCATTATTGCGGAGTGGCATCACTTCCGCTAATAACAAGCCAATTTCGAAAAGCACCTTTGGCTTTTGTGCCACATCAAAAAATTGTTCTGCTTCCTTCTGACAACATTTCCGAGTGTCGATAAATACGCGATCTCATCTCGAGCAAACTTGCGAAATCAATCCGCTGCTGCTATGGAAAGACGAGATTAAACGAGAAAAGGAATTGAGTTTTGCGCCGGTGGCCAAACCAATATTATATATTTGGCACGAAGCTAAACGGCCGATTGTAGCCGTGGAGAAGAGAAGATTGGTTAATTATTATAATTGAAATTCATGTCATTTCCGAGGTAACGGGACCCGAGCATCTCGCTTGTGTCTTTTTCTATCCGAATATATCTCGCGAGTGGTCCATCCAGCGCATGTGACACACGCACGGGGAGAGCAGAACGGAATTTGGAGCATCGCATTTTCAAGTTTCTTTGGAGTGGATCAGAAAATTGCGTGGGATTTGCACGTACAAGATAAATATCGCGGCGATTCGAACAGCTCTTCAGGGTTCGACTACCTTTTTGAGGTGTTGGTCAGCCCATCAAATCGATCGTGTTTCTTCATAAACAATTTCAAATATTTGAGTGGGTTCAAATATATGCTAATTAGGAGATCGGTGTAGGTTATCCAGTTTTTATTTTTTAGTTTAGAACATAATTATATATTAAAAAAATAAAAATGATTTTTAAAATAAATTCTTTTGGAAATTTGTAAATAAGTATTTTGCAAATAACAAATTTAAAAATTGTACTTTAATTTAAAATAGAATTCTTAATTAACTTGATTTATTTTAATACAAATTTAAGTCCAATTTCAAGTTTGATTTTATTTCTTTATTTTGAGCATTATTTAACAATTTTTTTAAA